CATCATCATCATCATCATCTTCTATCATCATCCATCATCATCCTTATCCTCATCATCAACTTCATCCTTATCCTATTTATCATCATCACTTATCATCATTCATCATCATTATCCTCAATATCATCATCATTGTCATTGTCATTATCATCATCCTCATTACAATCATCATCTATCATCATCATCGTCATCCTTGTCCTCGTCATTATTAATCACATCATCGTCATCCTTATCACCATCATCCTCATTCTCGTCATCATTCTTATCCTCCTCATCATCATCCTCTTTATCATCATTAATGATCATCTATCATCATTATCATCATGAGGATGATGATGAGGAGGAGGAGGAGGAGGAGGACAAGAATGAAGATGAGGATGAAGGGCAGAGGGATGTTTCTCATCATTCATCATCATTAACCTCATCAACATCATTATCATCAATCATAATCATCATCATTCTTATCTTCTTCATCATCAAACTCATCATGCTAATCCTCCTCCTTATTATCATCATTATATTCACCATATCAGCATTATCTTCTTCCTTATCATCATCCATCATCAATCATCATCTACCTCATCATCTTCCTTCTCCTCACCAACCGCATCATCCTCATTCTCCTCATCATAATTCTTATCTTCATCATCATAATCATAATCATTGATTCATTACTATCATCCTCATCCTCATTATTACCATCATCATCATCATCCTGATTGCTGTAATTTTTATCATCATCATCATCATCATCATCATCATCATCATCATCATCATAACCATCATTTTCATCATTATCACTTCTTCATCCTCAGTCACTATCATCATCATCATGAAGATGATCATCATCATTCTCATCAATCCTGTTCTATCATCCCCATCACCATCATCACAATCATCCTCATCAACAGCAATTATCATCAATCATAATCACCATCATCTTCTTCTTCATCATCATCTACCTCATCCTCTTTCTTCTCCTCCTCATCATCAACATCCTCATTATAATAGGGATTATAATGAGGAAGAGGATGATGATGATGATGATGATGATGATAATGACATCAATATAGTAAGAAAAACAGTACTAACGCTAATATAAATTTGAATCATAAACTATAAACAATTTTTTTTAAATGCATAAGAATAATGATATACTATATTAATAATATTATATATTAACAGCATAATAGTATATAATAATGATGAAGAAAAATGTAGTGTATAAATATTAAATTTAAATAGGTAAAACATTACCTTTAATTTTGATTGTCGTAGTCTTGGAATTTGGCTTATTGACGTCATTATTCCAAATTTGCTTGGGAGGTGGGAAATTCCCGTCAGACAGGCCTAGACTCCCATCATCCGATGCCACGACGAGGTCGCCACACTACAAACATTGGTTTGCCTCTCCATATAACATTATTTTGATTGTCAATTCCTAATATTTTGACTTAAAAGCAAAATTTTGGGCCATGCTAAGCTAAAAAAAAAACCTCTCCTATGAGCCCAGAGATGTTTATTCCGGATCTCTGACCTAGGGTCTAGTCGGTCCTGGGTTTGGACCCACCTATCAGACACCCTGGGGCCACCAGGGTGGGTAAGTATTTAACTAAGGTCCTGTCAGTTTTCACATTTATAGAAAAAAATCTAAGTGACAAAAAACATAAGTATGTTTTACATACCTCGATCCAAAAATTTGTATTTTAAAGCAATATTTCATTATTTCGTGTTTTTTTTTTTTTAT